CCCTTTTAGCCACAGCACTAACAAAATGAATGATCAATAAGCGAAAACTTTCTTGATGCTGAACGCACAACAAACATTTGCTAGGCAAATAGCAAAAGCAGAAAACGGATAATTACTGAATCATATCTGTGAAGTGTTAAACGAACAAAAGCAAGCAGGTAAAAACGATACGCCTATTAGCAAGGTAAACCAAGTAGCTTTTCAGACGGAAAGTAAATATGCTTCCAGTCATTGGGGCCATTAACATCGAATTCATCAGATCCGGAAGACATGAAATGCGGAAAGAACGCCTTTCGTTTCTATCAGGGATTGAGCCAGTGAAGGATAATTTGCAGATGGAGGGAGTCGAAAACTGTTTAGCTGCGCAAAAACGACCACAAGGATTGCCAGCTGCACCTAGCAGCAGAAGCAAAGATGCGTAATTTGCTCAATTTTCCCCCAAATGTTTGTCGCTAAACAGCAATGTTTTTCTTTTCCGGTGGGTAATTCTCGAATTAAGACTTGCCACCACAATGTCAGAAATTATTACAAAGTTATCCAGTAAACACGATCGTGGGCCATGCGCAAACATTTCAACACAGTAACCGCTTTGGCTGCGAAATTGTCAAATTTCACGTGTTCGAAGTGGGATAACATGAACCTTGTTTTCACGTGTGCCTGCCCGAGGCGGTTGTAGGTTACGCTCAGGAAACTTCAGTTCCTTAGCTGCTTTGGTTGTGGAATAATGTAGAATTTCACGCATCTGTACGTAAAAGGAAACATGGATGTTACTTCTACAAACACTTACGTAAAACCGGGAGTGGGTCACGTTCAAAAAATTTCAACACACTGGCTTCTTTGACTGCGGAGTTGCCGCATATTGCAGATATCCGTACCAAAACAGTACGCAAAACGCAAAAAGAACATGAAAGTTGTTTTTACGCTCCTGCTCAAACAGGGTCATCGGCCATACTCAGATTACAGCTCTCACTGGCTTCCCAAGCAAGGTAAATCTCGAGTCGGCAAGTTGCCAAAAAATGCCGTGTTCGTACACGATATCTTAGGATGCGTTAAAGCAGAATTTAAATTCTCTGTGCCACATATTGGCAAGAAATATCGCCGCAAAATTTCAGCCCCCTAGCTTGATCCCCGAAATCGCCGCCAAAAAGTCTTTCGCGTACTTGTACATAAAAATTACGTGGACGTGAGTGTTCATTTTGCAGATACAGGCCCTTGCAAAGTTCCAGCCTTGCAGCTTTCGCAGGTCTCGAGACTAAAAATCGGTACAGTTCTACAGGCAGACAGACTGGCAAACACAGACCGGCAACCCCTCGACAATATGTGTTCTTGCATTGCACAGATGCAGAAAACACATAAAAAGTATTCAATGCGTAAATTTGATTGTTAGACGCACAATCCTTCGCAAGAAGGAGGATTAACGAGGAGTGTGTAGAAATTAAGGATATGAACAACCCCAAAAAAAAAAAAATTTTCCTACCCCATTTCGTTCACCGGTCGAAAGAAATGTGAAGCTAGGCGATCCCATACCACTCAAACATTTTCACGGCCTGCTTCGTGATTACATTTCGTGGGCTGGATGGCATGAACGTTAAGGGCATAGGCGGATGGCGCAGATAGCAGTATTAAAACTATAGAAAGCTCTCTCCCGCACCCCTTGCCTCGCTCGTCGCCAGTAAAAGCCATGCGCTTTCAAAACCCCGCCCGCAGGAGACCACCCTGAAATCATTAAACTATGCGGATGAGATAGTTCCCACTCAAAGAAGCCCTCACAAGATAAATGATATGTTCCAGAAGCACGAAGAAAGTATGCCTCCAAAAAGCATCGGAAATGAAGGTGATGCATACTTGTCAGTAGGCCTGCGACCAAATTGCAGATAGATGGTAACGACTGGGGAAAATCTGTCAGCTATGTCTATCTTGGCCAGGAAGTAAACATGCGCCACATCTTCACTCTGAGTTTGTGCGCACAGGGCAGGCGCAAATTTTACAGCATCATCGATGTCCTCAAACTGTCCAACAAAAAGGACCGTGTGCACCTCTTCAATATCACTATGTTGGTGCAATGACATCTAAGTGCAAAATGTGGTCACTGACGAAAATAAAAATACAAACAACGAATATATTGTAGATAGCGATAAGCCAAGGGATGTTTAGCATGTTTCTTCATGACTATAAAAGCAATCAAATTCTCCGTGAGATGAGCAGCACGCAGGAAATCATTGCGACCGTGCAAGAAAGCAAAATTCTCTGGGTAGGTCACGGTGTCTGACTTGCCGGCAAACCGTAGATATCCGCATTATGGGTGGTACCCACAAGAAGGCAAACGATCATTTGGGCTTACATACATCTAAAAGGCGTTAGGCACTAGTAGGAGAAATGCGCTCACAATACAAAGGACCAGGCATAACTATGTCAGACGTGTGGGAGGAACCCAGTAAATCACTATACGGATTATTCATACCGGCTGTAAGGATGATCTTAACAATAATAACAACTAAGAACAATTAATAACAATAAGAGTACTGATAATCCAAATGGATTTACTTTCTCATAATGGCGGAACTCGTCCGAAGCACTTACTTTTCACTGCACCACCGGTTGGCTTTCGTCCACCACCTGACTGTTTACCTGATCCTTTCACGTTCACCGATGATCCTTCAGCGCCTTTTACAGAAGGTGACGGCGCCAGATTCGAGCCTGGTCTAGTCTGCGTAATAGGCTCATTGTCTGCAAAGAAACTTTCCAGCAAAAATTGTGACATTTTCTTTCCCAGGCTTTCATTAACAAATATGAGCGACGTGTATTTTTTTTTAAACTGGTCCCAATACTCTGACTTTAGCTAGGTTTAAGGTTGCGAATCCATGAGAGAAAACGAGAGGCTATCAAGATTCCGAAGTCCCCCAAGGATAACCGCTGTTGAAGTGCTAGGATCTCTCGACATGTGCCTAAAACAACTGTTTACAGCGACAAAAAGATAAACTGTCAAGAGCAACGGACAATAAAAACTACTCGCAAGTTAATCCCTCAACAGAGGACAACAACTGCAAATTCATATTGGCAGATCTAGTTCGTCCCATAGCCGCACTGTATGGTTATCTGAAATTCTTCTCATCAACCAACTTGTTTTCTATTACCGATTCGTCACCGTAAACCGGAAGGAAGGGCACGCAGTCAGTGGGCTTCATTTTTATGCGTTTTGTGCTGTGTAACAGCAGTACAAAACGCATATTGTTACGGGTTTGTCTG